ATATACCCGTGTAACAAGAGTACCTCGGATGCCAGATTTGTAACTCATTAGTGTATTCATGCAAAAAATACATTGTTGAAATGTAAACATACATTGTTGAAATTCATACATTCCGATGACGTCACGTTGTTGACTGACAGGACGGCTGGATTGTGTGTTCATTTATATACGTTTACTTTGATGACATAAATGGACGCGTTTTATGTTAAGAAAAAGGCTATATAAGGATTAACTTTCTATTCAGTTTAGGTTATCGGGTGATAACTACAATGGAACCCGGGTAAATTATTTCTTCTTTATCGGTTTCGCCGATTAATTATCACCCGATAACCTAAACTAAAAAGAAAGTTAAACCTTAAATATTATAACATGAAACATGTACTCAGATGGGATATTCTTACGACAGTACAGGGAAGATAAAGTTCCATTTAATTACAATTATATAAGTTATGATTAAAAAANCCTAAAAGGGACACTTTGGTATTTTGGCAAATATTTGGGGAAACTCGATGAATATCAGCAGAATGTTATACAGTTAAAATGTGTTAAGAGTCGAAAGGAGTCCTGATGAAATGTCTTCTCTAAACTAGCATTAGTTATGATAAAAGAAAAACGTTTGAAAATGATGTCCAAATGAATAGCGTCGCACAGAACGTAGATCACGAAAGTAGTTTTTTCCTTCATATTGACCAAGTAACGATAATTAGCAGCCAATAAACTGTGAAAACTGCATGCACAAAAGTACTTCTTTGCATTGCATGACAGTTTATTGGGTCGTTTTCACTTTAGTTTACCGTTTTAGGTACAGTGACGTTACCCTACCGGTGTTGTTGCAAAATAATTAAGTACAATTAACTCGGATGTAAAGACGTTACGCGCGATGTTGGTGACACCGCTTCAAAACACGCATGGTGCCCGCTAAAAGTATCATTGTTTTATTCAGTTTTAAGAACTTCATTTCACAATATATATCACAGAAAACGTTTCTTCAAGTTCATTCGTCTTATGGTATTTATGGACAACACACATGAAAAATTCTGTTTCACCTAAACAACCTCGAAAACGTCACAAAAATTCATGTAACGGGTAACATCTGCAGGGTGAGAGGTTTCAAAGAAATTTTATAAATTTGCGCCAAAAGAGTGCAGAGATTTAAAAAAAGATTTACGGAAGCAGAAATGACGTCACAAATGACGTTAGAAGTTTCATTGGGATTAGTGATTGGCATATTTACCAAGTCTTCTCCAAACCGCTATGAACAGAATGTAACCCTTACCCAGCAGGAAGCTTTGTATGGATCTATTGTGTTGAGTATAACGTTGCGCCACATTTAGAGTCTCAAACATCAGTATAAATCGTGAGATCATTTTATTATTTCGAGTAAAATTGCATGCATCATTATAATTTTCTGAATCACTACAATGTATGTTGATAAAATCAATACTAATAAACAGAATTGTAGAAGTATAGTCAAAACAGCGTACAATGTATGAACAGCAAAATCTAAAAATGGGACAACCGACTCGTTCTAAACCGATGGAAACGATTTTGAGAATATAAGCCAGTAAACAACCTCACATCTAGCTTCTCCTTCTAATCTAGGCCATCTTTTAAACTTTATTTATTTCACAACAATTATGAAAAGAGTTAATGAGCTCATGTTGATTATTCTTCTTTTTCCGTACGTAACGTACAATGGAGTCACCAAACATAATGCAAAATATGATAAAACATCTAAAAAGCGACTTCGTATATGATAAAAAACGACGTCATTTTACGTTACACAAGGTGTCACTAACTTTTATTAAAAGTGTTCAAAACTCGGGTTAAAATGGACGTGTCAGTGACTCTTATAATTTCTATGCTTGTCAAATTTACCTGTAAACACAGTTTATTAAGTTCGATATGCGGGAGTAGCCAGTTACATAAAAATTTGACAGGGCGGAGTTGCGCGAAACTTAATGCCCACAAAACAGTTAAAAATTAAACATTTGTACAGTATTTCATGTCGTGTTCTTATTGATACGTTTTGTTCGACCGTTCTTTAGGCATGATCCCTTCCTCGACTCTTCTGCGTACGAGCCGTCCTACCTATAAAGACTGTCTGGAAGCCTAGGATGCTGGCGATGTCATCAGTAAGGCATACAATATCACCGTCGGCGACAACTTAGTAGAAGCTTACTGCGATATGAAAACGGATGGAGGAGGGTGGACGGTGAGTAAATGTTCAATTATTTAAGCAAGTAAAATAATGAAAGAGATATAACACATTATTTATATATAATTAACGAAATATACTCTCTTACTTTAAGCAATATAATGAACACAAGCGGATTCGGGGAAAGAATAGACCTTCTGTATCAAATTAATATTATTATACATGCACGAGCCTATTAATAATCAGTATATCTATTTATTTCCTATTCTAATTTTCATGGATATTGAATGGATAATAAGTGATGTAAACATACCTATACACATGGTTTAAAATTCACATATATAATCACGTTGTGAGAGGTTTTCCAAAGGCGAATGGACGGATCAGTTGACTTTAACCTTGGATGGAGCGTCTACGCTGCCGGATTTGGTAACAAGAGCGAGGAATAGTGGTTGGGTAAGTTACCGCGAAATAAGTGGTTATAGAAACGTTGCGATCCTCTGCTGTAAACCATTCTGTATTTATTAAGTCATTCTATACATGGCAGCCAATGATTAAATGAGACTTGTAAGAGTTTTATTGTTAGGATTTATTTCTGGTGAAATTAACTGCAGTGCCTTCATGTGACGGCAACTTCCTTCATTTACATAACATACAATGATAATATAGTATCAGAAACCATTAAGGGTGCTACTAAGGAATACTGGGGTGTTTTAAAAGAAAAAAAAGCATGCGTCTCGTGTATAGCAATATGCACATAACCATACAGATGACCTTGTTCCGCCCACGCTTCGTGTAGGTTCATATGTATTTCATTCTAAGATGACTTCCTGAATCCTGTAATTCTGCTGTTCAGAATTTTCTTTTTAAAGTTATGAATTATTATTATTCCATTTTAGGAAACGACAATCTGAATCTACTCGCGCTACGAAATAGTGAACTAAGGATAGATCTGGAAGCTTTTAATGGCACGAAAGTGTATGCCATGTACAATTTTTTTGCTGTCGGCAATGCAACAACCAGCTACAATCTGGATATAGCAGGGTATTCAGGTACGCTTTGAAGCCTAGATTTTAAGAAAAACAGGCCATTACAACTTGATGGTGCGTGGTGGTATTCAAGCTGCCACGCGTCCAATCCCAACGGTTAATACTTACGGGGCAACACAACGACCTATGCAAACGGCGTAGTGTGGCAAACGTTTACAGGTTACCGTTACTCCCTGTAATCCTCAACGATGATGGTTAGACGGATCAAATAGGATTTTAAGAGAAGAGAACCATTGCGACATGATTTTATCAAAGTGATTTGATGTACGCATTTCAAAATATCTTCTCTCTATCTGAATCAACATTTAAAATCTTTTTCTGCAGTTCGTTTATGCTCTTCTTAAAACCGTTCGAAGCATTAAGAGCAGCAAATGTCTAAACATACAATGTTACAGTAACATAGTAACAGCATAAAACGTTTCCAGCAAATATAATCTTATCAACATGTATAGCTAACTATCTGGCAGTTCATTGCAGCACTAGAATTGTATGCCATTGTGAGTCAAATATAATTAATATATACTAGTTACAAATAACAATGATTAAACCATACACTATTCGTAAGTTATCGTAACCGATCGAGCGCAGTTAATGTCGCTTCCATGATGACATGTGCATTTACCTGTGTAGGGATCGTTGCACACGACTGCTAGCTGTTTGTGTCCCGTATACACGTGTGTGAGTGATGCGTACCGGACCTCGATGCATCCGGGTTTATTCACGACTTTTTCTGTGCCTTTATATATATATTCAAATTTGTTGTTCATTAAAAACTTCAATTAATCAAGTAGTTTATTTCAGTTGTTATTGTTTTTATTTTTTACCATTACAAGACAATGAGCGTTGATTAGTAATACGTTTACAAATTAAAAGCAATATTACAGGAGGACATCACACACACACATATACAAATATATATCAGAGTTGTTGTTCCTCACGCTATCGACGAAACCATACGCGCGGGGGAAATTTACGCGGACGATCCAACTCCGCGTTATAAGCGTAAATTTCCCCCGCTCGTAATATTCCACGTTTACAGTACCAGTAGCGAAACATGGAATTTATCTTAAGTGTGTATATAATTCGCGCTATAATCAAGCCAACGCTGTGGTATATTACCTGAAGCCTGCTGTCTCCAATTGCATGTTATTGCATGAGGCAACGAATATGGTATCCCTAACAGAATCTATCATCCTTTTCGTCTTTTGCTTGAAAGATAGTGAAGAAGAAGTTACAATCGATGTGATGCCTGCGTTTTTGCCCCCTCTTTTGTTCTTGGTTTGTCTCCATAGATTCTCTCTGCAAATTGTCTGGTGCGATGACATTAAAAACTCAACAAAGGGAACGAAAATATTACTTAAATGTCAATATTACTGTACATCATTTAAATTGTACATTTCTAAACATCTGACCTGCAGAGGTGTATTCTGAATATGTACACAATTAAGCGAGAGACTTATTGATTCTGTTTCTCGTTTGTATAATTAATATTTAACATGTATTTGTGAATATTAAATGTATGAAAATGAGTCGATGATATGAAGTAAAACTTGGTTGTCATTGGACTTGAAAATTTGGCCCAAAACCAGAAGGTGATATGAAAATGTCTGTAGGTCAACGTTTCATTTATAAAATTAAAAAATTCAAACTGAATAGAAACTGATGGGATGTTGTTGGACGATTCTATAGGTCCCTAGTCATGTCGGAAGTCGCACCGCACTTTACATGCAACCGACCAATGCCTTACTCTGCTTGTAAACACGATGTTACCAGAGTAATCAAACGTAACTGGCAACGAATATAATATTAACAAGAAAACTTTTGCTATTCAATCTACTGTGGGCAAACTTCCCCTCGCGATTTTGTAATGGACATACATATTATCCCCGTGCGTACTTACTTCGGCGAAATTATCGTCCCTCTTTACTTTGTCGTGTAACGAACAAATGTCTGTTTCGCATATTGAACGAATGTGTCGGTTTTAGACAGATTCGAAATAAATATTATAATGTGTCAGACATGAAAACACAAGTAATTTTCAAACACTAATAACGTCTGACCATGTCACCTAGTACTTATATATTCCTTTTTGAAACTTTTACCGTTCATTTTCCTTTCGGTGTATTCTGTTTTGTAATTGTCCCTAATTGCAGTTTTCAGGCCCGATATGACGTTATTGTTGCTAGGCCGTTTGGCAACTAAGAAAAAACACTCTTAAGCCGGCTTGAGATCCCCAATACGGGGGGAGGGGGCAAATACACCAACATATCGCCTCCAGATGAAATACACGCATACCTAAAATACAAATAGTCACGTCCGTAAATGGCCTTTCTGTTACTAAGGGGCTAAACTTAATAATCCAAACAAAAACAAAACTGCATTATATTTATGTAAATTGACCAATTTAAAACCTCCGGTGTCGCTTTTTGTAATTTAAAAACAATTATTAATATTTTTCCAATTGAATAAAACATTAACAAACGACTCTGGAATTCCTACTTTGTTTCATAACATATACCAACCGTTTTTTCCCTACGATTTTTAATGTCATGTTTTTATTTATATTTGAAATATAGCTTAACTTCTCTTGTTGTCCTATTTACTTTTTATGATATTTCTCTCGTTTAGAATAAACTTTGATATCTGAAAATACGTTTTGGGGTTTTCTTTAATCATCTTGATGCGTTTAAATAATACGATTGTTGCGTAATCGTATCTACTAATATATAAAAAAAAAAACACCAATGGAAACAATAAAACCTCCTAACTCGATTTCCTGTCTAGTCAAATATATTCAATATGATGTAATCCCGATTTCTAATGAAAGATGTAACCCACTTTTAATGAAGATATATCATTAATACTTTTGTATTCCATTATTCTGCTGTTTAATAAAGCAGATTGGTTGTGTGCAGCGTGCAGCTGGGTGTTTTCAGCATGGTATTTCAGTGGGGACGCACCCTACATTCCGTGTCGGATTGTGGCATTCCATTACCGTCATTCACACATACATGCATATCTTACACATACAGAAGCACATCCTTAAATGACCTTGTCTGTTAAAAGGACGTTAACCCATATAAAGCCAGAACCAATTTGTTGGAAAGGACAGGTTGTCACAATACTTGTATTTTTATTTCGATTCACATACAATACCATCAGTGTGAAAGTGCGGTGAAAAATAGCTCAACCGAGGCGGACATTTAAATCACGTGATTTTACTCTTTGTTAATTAAAGAACTAAGACTACAAAGGGTTACAACAGTAGTAAAATTATGTGACGTTTGTACAGTAATATTAATCAGATCGAGTAACCATATTGTGTATTGAGGGTGAGATCCGTTAAAGAGGCGTACCTCGCATTACACTGGATTAGGTCCCACTTTGAATTTGAACAAATCAGCCCTCAATTTAATTGAAGGATTGTCATCTCACTGCAACATGAATATCTTTTAATGAGTAACACATAAAAAATAAAACAATCAACCATTTATCGAGAATCTTAATTTGCAAAGCAGTGATCTATATTATCAAGATAAAACACAAATGCATGTTTTTGTAACAAACAAGTAAATGTAGAATTAATGCAAAAACGTGGATTAATACTGATCACACACTCGTTCGGTAATATACGTGTCGCACATTTCACTGATCACACACTCGTTCGGTAATATACATGTCGCACATTTCACTGATCACACACTCGTTCGGTAATATACATGTCGCACATTTCACTGATCACACACTCGTTCGGTAATATACATGTCGCACATTTCACTGATCACACACTCGTTCGGTAATATACATGTCGCACATTTCACTGATCACACACTCGTTCGGTAATATACATGTCGCACATTTCACTGATCACACACTCGTTCGGTAATATACATGTCGCACATTTCACTGATCACACACTCGTTCGGTAATATACATGTCGCACATTTCACTGATCACACACTCGTTCGGTAATATACATGTCGCACATTTCACTGATCACACACTCGTTCGGTAATATACATGTCGCACATTTCACTGATCACACACTCGTTCGGTAATATACATGTCGCACATTTCACTCAAATACGTCTTCGAAACAAGTATTCGATATTTTGAATCATGGAGAGGGATCTTCAGCACTGCCATAACGTTAATATAGATACCATGATAAAGATGGATGTCTTGTACAGGTTATATTTGCTATCCTTTTCTATGATATCACTGGCTTTTCCGTCTATATTGTCATATTGAGTAGAATAATTGAAATTTTAATAAGAGTTGTTTACGGCAACATCATTTTCTGTTTCATCGTCAAAAATATTTACATCATGGTTTTAATTTGTAACTTTCTCTTTTTAACCTCCATCAGCACATCATTCATTGTCACGCGCAAATAGCTACGTCATCGTTATCCAGTAATAAAAATGCAGAATTTATATATACATGTATATATGTTTGAGGCATGATATCATTTCCTTGTAATGTGTTTTGTTAACCCTTTATTGGGCCAAATTACCTCTTTTGTTTTGATTATCTGTTACGAATTAATAATGATAATAACGATACCATACTTCAAATACAGAGGTCTGTGTATAACGAGGCATCAAAGAATCGACGGCTACCTAACTGTATCTTTTACTTCACATGCTCGCCTTTCCGTGGGGTATATATAAAATGCCTTTCACATTTGTGTAGAAACGGTATAAAACTCCTAACAAACTTACAAACTATTTTAAAATATATTAACGCATGTCAGACATACATTACTCTTAATCATACTACAAACACTTTGGTCCACAGCTGACTTAGAACTACCGAATGATCGACATATAAATGCCGAGGACGTTTAATCCTCTCCCCTCGTGTTTACACACATAGGTATTAGCCACAATCTTATGGTCATAATACCAGCGGGTCTGGACACTTTAAATATACCTGAAAATTGGCTTTCAGTGTAAAGAGCTTTATATAAACATTCGCCATATTCATGTTGGGTGTATAAGTGGTACGTACACATGAATAGTCTGGCTATAGGGTTTTACCACTGATGGTGTCTGCACCCGTTCGACCATTCCTGGGATGGGACTGTAAGTAATTTATCATTGTACAATTACAGTTAAAACATGTACATTTTATTCAACCCTTTCTTTGATTATTGAATTATTTATATACATAATATTTATATATATATATTATTCATTTTTCATAAAATAACGAAAATACGATAGTAAGCACTCACAAGCCTAGAATATATCATTGTCAAAAGAACTTGATATTTTCTATATTAATTATCTCTTTGATTATTGAAACATAAACACATTATGCTGATAATTATGATATTCAATTACAAGTGTATTTATTCACTAGATTTTGTAATTTATAGCATTGGTACAATTGATTGAAAAGTGTATCTAATCATTTAAAGATGGTTGGATGTAAACGTTGGTACGTCCTATCAACGACAGCTAAGGTCATTTTAGGTTCATGATTGAAATGTATAAATACCACATAAATGACCTAAGTATGAAGATTTCGAAATCCTTCCGTAATCCACTTGATAGTTTTAAAGTTATTAAATAATACTTATATATATATATATTTCAAATATTATAGTAAACAGAAATGTTATTTGATGTTGTCATAAATACATCTTATAGACTAGAGGTGACCTGTAAACACTTACAGAGAGGAAATATTTCTGCTGAAGCCTATTTTGGAATCTTTCTCATATATAAATGTAAACATTTTTTCTTAAAATCTTTTACGAATCAAGTTTAATTAAATGGTTGTATAGAGTATCTCCACTGGCTACGCAATAATAGTCATACTGTATCTTATTCATTATATCTAATGACTACTCAAAATATCCTTTATGGTTATAATCGTTTTACACTTTACACATTTCACCAGGTATGAATACAACGCATACAATACACATGTACACTCCAACACGGTATTTAGTACAATGATACTTAAATGTCAACCATATTTAAGATTGAAAAGCTGATCTGTAGCACATATATGTATATAATGTTCACAATACCGAGAGGCCTTGAAATCTATTTCGATGTAAGCAATATTTAGATAACTTGTTATTTTATACTATTAGGAAGGGCAAAATAGACATTAGTAATAATATGAACGAACCTGATATTATCAAATACACTATATCTGGTTTTTATTTCATCCATGTAGATCTTCTTACCAAACTTACTGAAATCTTCCTATGCTACCCTCTAAAGGGTTGTCTTCGAGTCTTTCAAACTTTGCCCTCTCGATTTTCAAATTATGAATACCATGTCTGTATTTTAACAAAATGCAACATTTGTGCTTCAACTTTATTTGTTCAAGTGCTTTTTACACGGTAATTGTACGAGACATACTACTACCCATATACGTTTAAAACCCTACTCGCTTACTCGTCATTTCCATAGAATATTTGCCTAGCTACACTCAGTTGTTCCCATACATTTACACTTATACATGACTTAATTTATTACATCAACGATAAAAGTTTTTATTCGTTGTATGAAACTTTATTTGGTAATAATTGTGGTAATCTATGTCAATATTGGCGATGTTATAATTTAATCGTAAAATAAGATTGTTGAGAAATTTCAAAAAAAATCAATTCATTTTTTCAAAAGTTAATTAGTAAAGATTTGCAATTTGTTTTTCTTTTCAGCGTTTTATGACGTCGCAGTTAAAGCTCGAAATGTTATAGAAAAAAATAATTTCATAAAAGTATTGTCAACTTGTCCCTAGCCAAGAGACTTACATGTGCATGTATCTTTTATATATGTGCATATTAAATAAATATTTGTGTTTTTCGATGAATATGTGTAAATTTTGTATGTATGTAAGATAAAGGTAAATTAGATAATATACCGAATACTTCTATTTACCACAATACACTTCCACCATACCTTTGCTGGTTGATGACCTTTTATCTCGGTAGATAGATAACATATAAGTTTATACATGGCGCCCCAGGCAGGGTCCTTTATATCTGTCACCACACGAGGAGCACACTCCTCCCATACATCAACAATGAAACTCCACAGAGCGCTGACATAACTGGAGATAAACAAGTATCTTCAATTATCTTATAACATTAGAGAGTGTCTCCATTTGCATAACACGTTTAGTCTCCAATTTGTGTCTTTAATCAAAGCAGAAGCAGACATACAGACATTCTTTATATCCCCCTACCTGTGATTTGTAGTTCATTCATATTCATAGTATTTTCAATATACTATCATATACTTAGGCGAACAATGACATGACAATGATTGTTCTACAGCATACATACGTTATAACACACTTTATTTTTAACAATTCATGACAGAACCGTTCATAAGAGTTCATTCGTTTTAGTAGTCATGCTGGGCATATTTGTCGCCATGTTTACCATAAGTGCTCCCCATTCTGTTTCTGTTATATTAATCTGACTTCAACCTTCAAGTAGAAAACCTACATTGTATCTTTTTGGTCATTACTCTGTGTACCACATAATTTACATTGGACTTCTTCCAACTCAAAACTATACGCCAGTTTTATAAGCTCAGCAATTTTTCAAGTTGATTTTGCATGCTTTCTGCTAAGCTCCCATAAAGGGTTAGGGCCTCTGTGGATGTACCGATTCATATTTACTGAGTGCGTCAATGTTATTTGTACTTTCTGATAATAATTGTCAACACAATTTCTTACGAACATTTTCCAATGCGTTGTGTCTGGACGGAACGATGAAAATACATAGTCAACGAAAATATATATTCAGATAATTATAACACAATGCAAAATTACACAAACGAATGTCTGTCTGTCTATACTTATATATTACATATTTGTATATACAATATTAAATGAACAAGCATGTCTATACAAAATCGTGCCTTTATGGTAATGTGTATAAAAATATCTGCTTTAATATACAAATACTAACCCGTATATTCACTAAGCATTCGTGTACATGTACAGCTCTTTATACAACACACTAACATAAAAAATACATAAATGTCTACATGTTTAAACAAAGGTTACATCTGATTTTATAAAACAAAAAATACAAACGTGTATATAAAAATGCAAACACTATGTGTTCTTGCACGTACAATATACAAACCTTCTTATACAAATCACGTATTCACGAAATACGTCACAAAATTCATACATGTTTTATACCAATGTGTTAATATAAAACACATACCGGTACATTTAATAACAAAAATACAAATATGTGTATAGAAAATACAAAATAAACCACATTCATATACAAAACAAACATACAAATATTTTTACAAAAACATATCTGCTTATAAAAATAACAAGTTCATATATAAACACAAATTTGTATTATGTATGAGGGTCAAAGAAGCAATACCAATGGTAAAACCCCATACAACACTGGACAAATGGTAAACACTAGGACGTTAAACCCCCATACAACACTGGACAAATGGTAAACACTAGGACGTTAAACTCCCATACAACACTGGACAAATGGTAAACACTAGGACGTTAAACCCCCATACAACACTGGACAAATGTTAAACACTAGGACGTTAAACACTGTACAACTGCAGCACATTTTCTAATTCGTTGTTTGAATTCAACGTCATAGTACACTTAGACTTTGTGTGTGGTCGAAATGCATTCTGTTGTTACAAAAGGACATAACGTAAAACATTGTTTTGATAGTTTTTTGGACAAAAAAGTGAACCCTGTCGTACACCTTTGGAAGGCGGCACTAAATAGTTCATAGCACAGGCCCTGGGGACCTTTTTGAATTTTTAAAAAATATCTCATGGGTCGTGTCTTAGGGAGCTACAAATATAACCCAGTAATGGTTAAATTGCTTTGTGGGCAAAATTCTTTTGTTCCTGTAACAGGTCCTTTCATTTTAGATGGCCATGCCAATTAGAATCATCTTAATCCTTCAGCAAATCATATTTACAAGTCATACGGTGCGAAAGCCGTTAAAGGGAGAAATTTCAAAATCTTAGGATTTGACTCCCTGTGACGAAATATCATGTTTTTCTTCATTCCCTATTACATTATCAATTAGTTTTATTGATTATATTGTACCTTATGGTTTTCAGATTTCTGACACATTCTCCATCTTGTATTTTATGACAAAATTATCAAGTGTAGGAGTAGCGGTTGAAGCTTTACGCAATCGGTTCTGTCCCCTGGCCGGCACATACCGAAATCCTGAAGATGGTACTTCTTATTGGAGACACGTCCTTAAATGACCTTGGCTTTTCATAGGACGTTAAACTTAATAAAACCAAACTAAACCGAAAACACTCCAGATATCAACAAGTCACAATTATCAATAAAAGTTATCGCTTTCTTCAAATTACAAGTATTATGAACCATATTTCAATAAAATAACGAAGTAGTGTTACCCCTTTCTTCACAAACTGCATAGGGTTTTATTGTTCTGCAATAACTGTTATGAAATTCCTTTTCCTGCTGCCAGCCATGGTGTAAAAGGCCCAAGGCTTATGTTTATTTGTACACATATTTAGTATAAAATATCGTAAAAGCCTCGGCAATATGACGAAAGTGTCTTCTTAAAACTGTTTCCTACTTTGACCAAACAACAATACTGGATGCGGGTATATGACACCGGTCACAGATATGTTTTGTGTCACTTTTGTCGCTTATAATAGTGCACAGAGGAATGAAAAACCGAGGATTCTGCAGAGGATCTCACGTTATCATCATACATAGGGTACACCCGGCCAAATGCTTGTGTTTATCTAAGTAAGGCAAAGATTGTGTTCGGTTTATAGGTTAAGCTTCCAAATGTAATGTTATCTAAAGACGTGCTTCTGTGTCCGTGTCTTGTGAAGGTCCGAGGAAAGAATAGGACGGCTGTTCTCTGGTCCTAAACAGGTGTATCCACACTTTTACCGATGTGAGATAGCCTTGCCTAACCCTAGGATTGAGACGGTATTCATAACAATGGTATTACGTCACGTCAACAATTGTATTACGTCACGTCTACAATGTATTTACGTCACGTAAACAATGTATTTACGTCACGTCAACAATGTATTTACGTCACGTCTACAATGTATTTACGTCACGTCAACAATGTATTTACGTCACGTCTACAATGTATTTACGTCACGTCTACAATGTATTTACGTCACGTCAACAATGTATTTACGTCACGTCTACAATGTATTTACGTCACGTCAACAATGTATTTACGTCACGTCTACAATGCAATGAGTTGACGTTAACATTTCAGTATGTATAGGACAGGGTCAACCTGGTAGGAGAAAAAGAATCATCCACTCCCTTGAGATCCCGGGTGAAAGTTTATTTTAATCTCACTGTATACCAAGAGGCAACTAACGTTGGGTCCCGTGCAGAATCGGAGATTTTCGTCGGTGTGTTCTATTCGAGGGACACTTAAGAGGACAAAATTGAGCTGCTGTCCCCATAGCAACACTTTGGACCTCTGTTATCTTTTTTCTCTTATTTACTCTTTCCTTTCGGTTGTGTATCCCTAGTCATCCCTAGTCATAAGACCTTAGACGTTAACAAACAAACAAAACTGTCATATGTTTAATGTACTAGTTTCTGCTGGAGGCTGTATTTTAGTGTGCCTGCTGCCTTGGCGTAGCCCGGATCTGATGCCGGCTTTGGAGTGCTACCGCATTCACAAACCATGACGGAGGACAATACTGCTTACGGTCACGTGACTACGGGTTAACCAATTCGTGCTTACTCTAAATGCTGATCCTTTAGCAGGCAATAACACCTGCTATTTAAAGGATTTTGGTATGTACCGACCTGGGTACAGAACCCACTGCCTTCATATTGGCAAGGGTGGCGTTATGACGTATAAAAGATTAAGCACAGAAATACGAATTCAAATAGGCAAAGGTATTTGCAACAATAAATGGGTCACAAGTGTGAAGGAATAGGATTAAACTACTAAGGATCATTTCCTTGTCTGTGTACGTCACAATTGCGTGCGTTCCCGGTATAAACTCAGAATAATTGCCAAATACATGTGTTGTGTGTATGTAGTTAGTGGTGTTGTTGGAAGTATAATTTTTAAGCCTCGGATTAATTTTACAGGACTGAGTGGACTTCGTATTTATATGTAGATAATACACAAGTTGTAACAACGTAATGAATAGAGAAACCCGGCGGAAAAATACCGAAGTTTTGAAACACTTTTAGTGATCTTTTGTTTAAATGTTTAAAGGATAAGTTTACCAGGAATTAAAATTGTAATGTACTTTATTAGGGCGCCTAACGCGGTATTACCGTCACTGGAAACAATAGTCAGCATACCTTTTAAAGTTTCTAACAATGGAATGAAGAAATATAATGGTGCGACGCTCGATGTCATGATACCCCTCTGATTGTTGTGTTGGTAAAATTATTCAAGCGAGTTTTGTTTTTATTTTGATTTCAAGGGGTCATGTCTGACTTTTAGGTAAACTTCTCGACTTAAGTGTTATAAGAAAGGATAGAACAAAATAGTTTGTGTTTTACAATAGCATACCCAAATAGGAATAAAAACTTTTCCTTTCTGCTGCAATAACAATTTTTTACGCCTTTTTACCATAATCGTTTGAATTTGCCTTGCCCCATAAACCTATAAAAAACTTGGAAAAGTTTGCTAGTGGACATAATCTAACGCTTGAAAAATAGCGTTTTACCATTAAAACATTCTGGATAGTCGATATGGGTAAGGTAAATATTTTCTTCTCAAAACATTTCCCTAACATAAAATCATAGAATTCAGCCTAACTGCACGGTAATGTCAAGCATATATTTCGTGCATGATAAATCAGTGTCCTGAAACAATATAAAACATTTTACAAAGGACAACAAACTAATTTGGCTTAATTTTAGGTAAAGAAAGTCCATGACTTCCAGACTATGTGACTGGGTTGAGTGCATGCTAGCGAGTCCAGATTATGACATTTTAACGAGATGGTATTTAAGTGATCCCATCGTTCGTTGACATCGTCTTAACATGAGTTTAGCAGATGCAAGAACGTTAAACTCCAAATACATAAAACAAATGCAGAGAAATCTGATTTAAATGGACAAATTATCATGTTTTGAAAGGTCTTGAGAAAGAATGGATGAAATTAAAGTCATACAAATGTCACATATTTATAGAAGTATCTAACATGTAAACTTTTATTCTATTGGTAGCTTCGACGACCTAACCGGGCAGGCGATTTCCATCTTGACCTTTGACGTAAGTGACGACACGTTTGTTCAACAGACTAACCGGAAGTTGTGTTTGGCATTCTTGATTACACTTTCAGTCCTTGTATGTGGAAGACAATATGTCGGCGAGCCTATCACCTGCTTCTGTCCGGCACAATTCGAGAAATTCCATGTGGCATATACAAACAGTTTCTGTTGGATAAATAACAATTACGCCGTTCCTTTCAATGAAATACTTCCGGTTTCCGATGAATCCCGAGAGGACCACGAGATCTCGTATTATCAATGGGTCCCACTTATTCTTGTGTTTTTAGCAGCAATGTTTTACATGCCGAGATTGTTTTGGAAGGGAATGTGTGGACATACAGGTATCAATATAAAGAAAATTCTACTCATGTCAAACGACGCCGCTTACATGACCCCTAAAAGGCGTGATGAACACATTGAAGTGGTGACATTATACATTGATAAATGGATAGACATCCGGGATGGAAAGCCATCAGCCAATCGTCGATTCAAACGGATCAAGGAAACGCTCCATGTTCGTGGAATCAACTCAGGAAACTACCTGTCGTTTATCTACATAATTACATGTCTGTTTTACTTCCTGAATACTGTCTTGCAGATATTTCTGATAAACGCCTTCCTTGGCAATGACTTTATGAGCCTTGGGCCTGACTTTGTCCGCGGAATTACTGCCAATCGAAAATGGGAGGATTTGAGAAGATTTCCCAGGGTTGCATTCTGTGACATGAACATTCGACAACTTCAAAATGTCCAACGATGGACTATTCAATGTTCTCTCCCGGTCAACTTATTCAATGAGAAAGTCTTTATTCTACTATGGTTCCTACTCATCACCATGTCAGTTGTAAATGGTGTATATTTTGTGTATAATATCATCATGACGTTTCTTCCGAAGAGGAAGAATATGTACATTCGGAAGTTTCTGGATTATACCAGATTTCCCGCAGAAATCCGAAACAGTGCAAAACTACTTGATGTGGAAAAGAGTTTTGTTGAGTCATATTTAAAACATGATGGCGTGTTTATTTTATGGTTAGTAAGTCATAACACAAGTCAGGTCATAGGGTCCCAGCTGGTGGAGAGACTCTGGATAAATTATTGTAAAAAACCGTACGTACAGAAATTCATGGCCATATGTGACATAGAGGCGTAGTCAAACAAGAGTTACCCTTTCTTGTGTTCCGGAAATAAAGGAGTTATCCTTCTTGCTTTATTAAAAACCACTACATTAATTTATAATGCGGTCTATTAGACCTTCACATCGTCTTGGTACATATACTGTTTCCGAGATGTGTCGTTGGTAATCTATGATGTAAGAGGATATTTAGAAACGAGACGAGGTCGTCTTGTATTTTTTTTCTTATTTGATTAACAAACGTAAAGATATCCGCAAGACATCAAGTTTTCAAATGAAACTTAGTCAGAGCGGAGTTGTCGCCCCTTACACAGTACATTTTACACCCAGGCTAGTACATTATACACTCGTGGTTGGTTATAAATAGACACGTACAGTATTTATAACATCTACCATTTATATATTACATATTTCTTTTGACGTTTATTTGTTTCAATATTCTAATAAATGGGAATCTTTTCTAATTATCATTTCTCTTATAGTTTTCATTGCTTTTAGTAAAATACCAAGTTTATTGTGTATATTGCTCCATTTGGCAAGAAAAGAAAAAACCAAACAAGAATACATGTATATTTGTGAAAACGTTTGTTGATTGATAATGATATGTTCACGTGCAAATAGCAATGAAACAAAAGCAATTAGTTTGTAAATTCTGAAAAGGTGATGGGTTTTTTATTTTCTGCTGAATATCATTCATATTTCACGTTTTGAGTACGGCAGATTACCGATATTTTTTTAGAGTGCGAAGCACGAAATGAAACCGTCGGTCGTAGGGCCATTTGTTAATGAACGTTACTAGTTCCGAGCTGTGGTCAGTTGTCCGGACCTGAAACCAAGGATGAGCAAATTAGAATTGAGGAAAACCAGACCATATGTCATATTTAGAAATTATATTTTGTATATTAGAGTTAAGTTAGTTATTAAGTCAGAATAACCTAAAACTTATTTCCACACCATTTCTTAAGTTAAGAACATCACGGAATACGCAAGGATCGTGGCAGTTGTCTAATAAACACACATGCAAAATAAACGTGAAAATGTACCTAATTATACGCGAATGTAGCACAATTCAAGCATGATTTGTTAAACTAATTTAAAGACTACTTTTAAGAGCGAAGTGTATTGACATTCTCCAATTATTTTGTAATTCCATTTTAGAATCTGGGTACCAGCAATAATAAATTGTTTAGAATAAAGCGTTCTTCGTTGTTTCGAATGACAGATGTTATTCGCTTCCAAAATCTATTATTTCTATATCTCGGTTGTACTTTCCCTGCCAGACAAAAGTCTTATTAGTAATTTGTTACTGTTCCATGTAGACCTTTAAAAAGCAGATCAAATACTTCTAAATGAACCGGCACTTTTTAATATCAAAACATATTGATAAAAGAAGTGTCATTTGGAATCTCTGAAGTGGATCTAGCTGCATGTGTTTGGCCTTAGATGATCCGCCAGTTGTACTGACCATGCTGCACTACAGTATATAACATATGGAAATTCACTGGATTTATAAAACTTCAGTCTACCACTAATTTGGAGAGTTTGACAAATTCCACGTAACTATCCGAAGCGCTCCCTAATTCTAGTTACCATAGACGAAATATATACACCCAACAGATTTTGTGTTGATGAACTTGCTCAAGTAGACCATCTCTCCTATATTAATTCAAGGCATGACCAATGCGTGTAGCTTTTGTCTTGGCGCAGCTAACATTTAGTCTTACACTCAGAATCGCGTTGTTTTCATTTCATGTTGATGTAAACAATCCCACAGGGGCCTGAGAATTTGTTACAGCTTTATTTGGACCTAAACTAATATAAGTTCAGAGTTACTTTCGGTAAAATGACACCCCGATGACTATATATACGAGAAGGGTGGAAAGCTCTCGATGTCGAAAAGACGACCCCATCTAACGTTTTTGCATCAAAAATAACATGTCTGATTGATGTACGGGAAAATGCATAGTACCGTTAAAATTCCTTCTATATGCACGTAAAATGTATTCTTCTTCCGCGGAAATGATTTCCGTTTCCTCGAAAAACACACGCCATTTCAGCGTTTTAAAGTTCATGTTCGCGGAAGAAGAATACATTTTACGTGTATATAGGAGGTTTCCACTATTGTCGTATATGTACCGAAAGTCGATCTAAACCCCTAAAACATGTAAAATTACTCTGAACACCTTCTCAGGTCCCTGTGAACAAGACATACGTAGATAAACGAGAATCATCTGCTTGGATTTCATACACAACTGTAGGTAATTTATAAAAAAAAACGTTATAAACATCAAAGGACCCAGTTAAGATCCCTGAGGCACACCATGTTTTATACTCTACTTCCGATACTTTCTGTGATCGAAATGCAAGACACGATGTATACTAAGTAACCTGTAATGACTCAATTGGCCGTGTTGGTGTGTGACTGCATGGTGACCTTGATATCCGTAGGATTCAAACTCCGAAGTCTGAAATGCGAGGAATCTGCTCCGAGTTTTAATCTCAGATAAATAGTGCTTTGACGGAGTTCAAACTTTTTTAAACTGTGTCGACACGAAACTTCAATTATTGTATTATATCGCTTTTGCAAGGAAAGGCATGATATTAATAATATTGTGCGTCAGTATAGTTCATTGCATCATAGCTCGCAGTTCTCCGGCCAACACAGATATACCTCATACAAGGGACATCACCCCACTCAGTTACAAAACAATGATATCTGCATCATAGCTCGCAGTTCTCCAGCCAACACACATACATACCTCAAACAAGGGACATCACTCTACTCAGTTACAAAACGATGATATCTGATTATTTGGAAAGGTCTTGCATGTCTTTTGACGCTTAAGGAATGTTTGCAACGTAATACGTTGTGTGTGGGGATGAATGTACCCATTACAAACATAATCTGAACTGAAAGTCAATAGAAAAAGTAAAAACTACATGAACATGAACTGAAGGAGAGCAAAACAAGTGATGCCACAAATTCCGACTAAATGTGTAAACGAAATCGGGTGCTCTATAATGTATATAAATGTACATACATGTGTTTAGATTTCCGGGTTGTGACCGGATAATGTATGCATGTGACCAAACATATATGTATGCTAATATTTCCTGATTAGATTTGGTATGAAAATACATCTTGGTATGGCGGAGTGTCCAGTTTAAAAAGTAGGTCACTGTGACCTATGGTTTGACCTTTGACTTCAACATTTGAATAAGTTTATTTTTGGCATTTCTTTTGTATTATTGTAGCGGGTGGGAAGTTGTCGAAATAACACAAAGCCACTGGGTTCAGTTCTTCTTCTTCTTATGGATAAAAGCAATCCTTCACATAAACTGAAGATTACGTGCTATGCGCTGGGAAATGTACAAGGGAATAATGGTTATTTTTTAGATTTTTGACATATATGGATAAAACTATTTACAGTATACAGATTTAGAATGTTGAAGACAGGTATGACACAGGGATAGCAGACTTGAATGCTTCCACTGTGTCAGATGATACGGCTGAATGAGGGAGATGATTCCATTGACTGATGGTGCGAGGATAGAAGGAAAATGTATACGTATCTTTTTTGGTCTGTATGTGTTTGAAGGCATGAGGATTGTGGTGGCTGGATCTGGTTCCACTGTCAGCTGGTATTAAAAGGTTTGATGGATAAATTGCTACTACATTATTCAAAATTTTGTAAAACATGACCAGTCTGAAGTATAATCTGCGAGTGTGAAGGGGAGGCCAATGTAGTGTTTCAATCATTTCATTTTTTTAGTTTTAAACATATTTTATTGCCTTTTTTACATAGCAATGGAATTGGGCACAAGTTTTACAACTTATATAATAATAATAATAATAATAATATACAACATTTATATAGCGCCCTACATAATTTGTAAAATTACTCTAAGGCGCTTTACAACATATGGATAATAGTAATGGTTATAATTGTGAAAACAAACGACAAAGGCTTGCAATCACTTTCATACACTTAACAAGCAATGTGCACATAATTGAACAAATAAAAGGGTGGTATTTACATGACGTCATTGCAAAGATTTTAAAAGGTAGACGTGAAGAGGTGAGTTTTAATGTCCCTCTTGAACTTGGCCGGGGTATTTGACTTCCTAATAGCAGATGGTAAGCTATTCCACAACGTAGCCGAAACCCTCCCAAAGCATCTGTTTCCGTAGGTCACAGTACGAGATTTTGGGACACACAACAAAGATTCTGACTCCGACCGCAGTGATCTTGACGGCTGATACAGGGTAACAAGCTCCTGTAGGTACTGAGGAGCTGTTCTATTCAGTGCCTTGTATGTGTATACCAGAATTTTGTACTGCGACCTGTATCGTACTGGTAACCAGTGCAACGAATAAAGCGCGAATCAAGCCCTTTCCCTGTACAATAATATGTTTTTAACAAAATTTCATGATGGCAGAACTACGTAAATAAGCTATGTATTATAAATTAATTAATCAGTGACATACATACACCCACACATTCACGCACCGAACCACACACATGCGCACAAATATAAACATGCACATGTAGATAAGGAAGAGAGAGAGATAGGGGGATGGTGAGAGGGAAGGAGAGAGAGAGGGAAGAAGGGGTTAGAGGGTCAGATTTTTTAAGAGTACTAGATAAGTACTGCAACAAGACTGTAAATTTAAGAAAATATATATCAGACCACGTGGTTGTTCCTTCTCCATGCGAACGGACTAGTTATACTATTCGCTGTTCACAACTTTCTTCTGATCAATGTTCATCACATCCCGTGCTATTATAACTTCCTCCTGTTCACTCCGTTCTTGCTGGTATTTCCGTTTCAACTAGTCCGTCCGCACAGAGAAAGACCAAACACACGACTTCATTATGTTTATATATATATATACGTATATTTGTATGTTGCAACTCGTGTTGTCAATCTAATAGTATTAATAAGATACATGTATTAATAAAGATGTCGATTTTGAGGGGCGAAGGGTGTTAAAATCTGTTCGAGTCTTGTATATATTGCTGAGTATTCATGAATATAATTTTGTTTTCTTGTTCCGAAATTGTTATATCTCCAAAAAGAAGTAGATTCAATGTAAGGGGGATGTATGCATTCAGTTCACGATAAAGTTTAATTCTCTGTTCAACATAATTATCACAGTTAAAAAAGAAATGGAAGGTGTCTTCAATAGGGTAACCACACATACAACGTTGGTCATCAACCAGGTTAACTCGGAATAGATCGTTTTTCAAAGTGCTAGAACGGTTTCTTAGTTTTGTATGTAGGATGTTATTTTTTCTATCACCGTAGAAAAAGTAATTGGGTACATGGGGCAAATGTTTGTCTCTAATGGCATTTTTAAACGATGAAAAAGAGGAGCTATGCCTAATACTTAAAGTTAACTGATTCCAGAGTCTAATAGTAGAAGGAAAGTAAGACATGTTAGATAACTCTAGTCTGTTGTTAGGCAGGTTGTAGTTTTCGGCGTTTCTAAGATTATATCGAGCATTTTCGACAAGAGGAGGTAGTAGAGTGTTCAGATGGTTAGGAGTAATATTATGATGAATTTATAAAATAATTGCAGTGTCCGACGGGACCTCCGGTGGGCTAGGGATTCCCATCCTGTTTCAGTATATATAGATTGTCTACTAGCATAGGAAGGTAAACCGGTGACAATACGTCCTGCCTCTAATTGTAACTTCTCTAACTTGTCTGTATCAGTAAGAGTACAACCATCCCAAACTTCACAGCAATATTCTAGAATAGGAAGTATAAACGATCTATATATATTATTTAATGTACGGCGGTTTAGATTATATTTCAATTTACGGAGAACACCTAATTGCTTGACTACTTTTTTACAAATGTTGTCAATATGATAGCTCCACTTACAGTTAGCATCGATGAATATTCCCAGATGTTTATGGTTATCAACAAAGTCTATACTGATATTATTAAAATCTATTTCAATCAGGTGATCTAATTCTATATTAGAAATAAGTAAAGCGTCTGTTTTTGCAGGATTAAAACTAACTAACCATTTATCAGCCCACAATTGAATATTTCTTAGATCGTTATTAATTTTTTGTTCTAATATTTGTGAGAATTTAACTGAACATAATAGAG